CAAGCAGGGTGTGAACAGTATTCTATTCTTGTCTGTAGTTGTAAAGAAATGCAGAAGAGAGAGTGAGACAGAAAGGTGGATAACTCTTTAAGTTATTCATCTCTCTCCCTGTTCCTGTCAGGATGAAGAATATGGGGATTTACCAAACCAGGAAGGAAGCGAGAAAAATGGATAGCAGTATGAAACTGGAACTAGAGGAACTAATTTTTAGATCTGAGAAAAAAGATCTAGTTGATGTGTAATCTTACTTGAATAAGATCAGATTGGGTGTTTCCAAAAAATTACAGAGTTTTGTGAGGTGGAATAACAGAAGTCACAGTGTATTTGTGAGCAGTGAGGAATGGGTCTTTGTCCACTGGTCAGATTTGTGATTGTAATGATTTTATTTGTGAAAACAAAATACAGGTAGTCCTCGATTTATGACAGCAATTGGGAGTGGAATTTCCATCACTAAGTGATGTGATCGTAAAGTGCGTCTGCATTGCTTAGTGATGGCAATCTCTGCAGTCCTGGTTGCTGTTGTTAACTGAATCCTATGGTCGGTAGGCAAGGAGCTTCCTGCCAGCTTCCCACAAGCAAAGTCAGTGGGGAAGCTGGCAGGAAGCTGCAAGTCCCAAAGTCAATGGGGAAGCAGGTAAGTGGTTGCTGCCAGGTGGGGGAGGGAGCAAAAGGATGCATGGATGTGTGTGAGAGGTGTGAGAGAGGGTCAGGGGTGGTGTGCAAGGGTGCAAGGGTGTGTGTGAGAGGCACAGGTTGGGGAGGGTGCATGGGGGTGCACGAGAGGCACAGTGCAAGTCAGGGAGGGGGTGTGAGGATGCAAGGGAGTGCATGAGGATGTGAGGGAGGCGCGGTGGGGTTGGGGAGAGTGCGCAGTGATATGCATGTGGCCTACACGGCGCAAGCCCAGAGGGGCTGGGGGAGGGTGTAGGGGTGGAGGAGACTTACCCTAGCAACTTGCAACCTTCCCTGCTGGGTTCCCTATCGACTTTCTGAGGAAGCCGACGAGGAAGGTTGCAAATGCTGAACATGTGATTGTGGGGCGCTGCAACTGGTCGTAAGTGTGAACCAGTTGCCAGGTGCCCAGATCGCAATTACATGACCATGGGGCTGCTGGGATGGCCAGAACTCTGAAGACCGGTTGTAACCACCATTTGTTCAGTGCCGTTGTAACTTCAAACTGTCACTGAATGAATGGTCGTAGGTTGAGGATTAACTGTACAGATGCTTTTCTTTATACTAACAGTGCCGTCCTGAACATAGTTTCTTTCAAGTTACTGTTATTGATTATTTTAGAATTAATGATCAAACATTGTTATTGTTGAAGTTTGTTTTGATATCTAGTTTATGATCATTTGTATAGGAAGAATTTTTGTCCTTTGTGTCAACAGTGAGGAGGGGGAGTGAGAAATAAGATAACAGGATTTGCATGGTGTACATCTGAGGGGAGAAACAAGTAAATGGTTTGCAACACAAGCAGTGATTTTTCTTAAGCTTTATTTGCTGTGAAAGCTACTATATGAAAACATCTTACTCCAAAAGAAATAACAACTACAAAAATAATTGCAAAGAGTGAGCAGTATATAAAAATCCCATCATCTTGTTCATTAGGCAAGCTTCTTGCCAATTTCTTTTAACGTAGGTGTGTTCATGAAGTTACTAGGAGTTGAACTTGACTTCAAGAATTTATCTGACTTACCCACTGGAAACCAGTGTGATAAAGCATTCATGTTTCAAATTCTCTTAAGGATGGGAGGACAATCCGAATGCGTGCTAGCAAATGTTCTGAAAATAGTCTCAACATGAGGGAATCTCTCATTGCTTGTGTATCCTTAGCAACCCTCCCCTCAACTGCAAATTGTGTACTTATATACATGCTATTCACAGGCAAAATAATCTAATTTTACGGAATAGGGTTTTATTCATTTCATAAAAAAGCAAAATGTAGGTATTCAGGTATAATATAAGACAAAAATAAAACAGCGTGTGAAAACTGTACAGATCATCTTTAATACTGGAACTTGCACTACAATGGGTTAATCTGACTTGGTTTTAGCATTTCTTTTAATTTCCTTATTATGTTATTTTTTTAATCAAACTTCAGGGTGATGGGTATTGTATACTTCAGCAGTCGCCTAAGGAAAATTAGGCATGTTCTGTCAATTTTTTTCTTGCTAAGTAAATATTAAAGGTCTTTTTGCAAGTTCCATACATGAAACAAAAACCCAGATTCTTACAATGAAGTTATCACTAGCTTGAGCCAGGAATATGAACTTATGCCAGTGAAAACCTGAGAGAGATGGGGATAAATTTCAACCAAAAAGTACATAGAGGTGGTCCTTGTTTAACAATCAGTCATTCAACGACTGTTCAAACTTGCGATGACGCTGAACAAGTGGTACTTATGACAGGTCCTCACGACCGGTCCTTGAAGTTCTGGCCATCACAGAGCCCCTGCGGTCACATGATCATGATCTGGGTGCTTGGCAATCACCCTGGATTTCCAGTTGTCACAGCATCCCACGGTCACGTGATTGCAATTTGCAACCTTCTCTGCTGGCTTCCCAAAGCAAAGTCAATGGGGAAGCTGACAGGAAGTGGCAATCATGTGCAGTCTTCAATGACACATGCAGTCCTCGCTTAATGATGGTAACCAGGGCCTGCTGGAACTGCTGTTGCTAAGCAGCATGGTCATGTGATGTCATGGTTTATGACCGCATAGCTTAGTGATGGAAATTCCGGTCCCAATTACTCTTGCTGAGCAAGTATGTATTGATATCCATATATATGTGAATTGTGTACGCGAAGCCCTTGCTAGAGTAATGCAACGTATATACTTGTCATAGTCGTCCTAGTTTTTCATGTTGGGATCACTTCTTATTTATTTATTAAATTTATCTCCACCTGTCTCCCCTGATGGGGGACTTTGGGTGGCTCATATAACCCATTAAAACAATATATATACAATCACATAAAACATGAAAACTGTACAAAACGTTACTAAAAGAAAAAGAAAAAATCCAAGAGGCTGATGGTTTCCAGAGCTGCAGACGACAGGCCTCTAAGGGACTAGCCATCTGCATGCTTGATGTCTTCCCTCCCCACCCCGGGCCAAGCGGCAGAGCCGGGTCTTCATTATATTTCATTCATTTTGCAAGTTGTGTTCACTCATCAAATTGTAATGTGATTTGGTTGGTTTTGGGTTAGCATGAGATGCAAGGTTTGTAAAGCATAACTTATGGTTTAAGATCATGATTTGCTTCTCATATTAAAATCATATTAAAGCACACCTTGGCTTACCACGTGTGACTTTAGATAGGCACTTGTGGATTTTCTGCTTGAGGTATGAAATTATCTTGCTCATCCTTGGGTTTTATGGAATTTCATCGATAGGATGGACTTGCTGTTCCACCTTAGGGAATAAAATATCTTGAACTGGCTCTGAACCAAACTCAAATTATTTTCCAGTTTATCTGCAAGTTATTTTTCTACTCTTATGGTGAGTAAGTTTCATCATCTCAGAAACAGGCATATATCATTTGAATGATCCTATCCAGAATTTGAGTATGATGAGCTAATGCTTTAAAATTGCCAGACTTAAAAACTGGAAATCTGAATTTGGATAGAGTTCATGCTAATTGACTTTAATTGTTCCTGTTCACTACTCTCATCTCTCAATCCAACACCTTTCTGTTTCCAACATCTTTCTGAAGTTGATTTTAAAGGATAATCGATCGTAATTCTAATTGGTGTTTGTATGTTGTAAAGATCTGGTCTTGGTTACATATTCTTAAAAACACACACATTTGTATAGGCACATATTAATGCATGCACTGAACCTTGATTTGTTTGCATGGTAGTTTAACACCTTTCCTCAACTTAGCACCCTCCATATCCATTGGATTTCATCTCCTGTAATCCACCTCCCACATATTATCACATTCCTACAAGGCACCAAGTTGGGGAGGCTGCAGTATATAGACTCCCCAACTGGTGTCCTCGAAATGTAAACTACAATTCCCAGAATTCCTAACCAGCATGGACTTGGACCCTAATACATCTAAATATACCAATTTTAGAAAAGCAACTGTAGTATAGTTGTAATAAATCTTCTGGACATAGGTATTCAGAATGCAATAGCCAAGATCAAATTCATTCCAAATTGCTTTATATCAGAAAAGATACTTGTGAGCCTATCACCTTCCAAAGAAAGATGTTGATGCAGTATGCGCTTTTGTCTCTCTGTGTGAAAACTACTGTCCTTTTTTGCCTTCCTTCTGACATCCTGGTTGCTATAGTGCAGTGATCTATTTATGAACACATAGGAGATCATTGCTGTAGAGAAAATGTTTTCTGGTCATAACTTCATGGATAATCCTTCTTGAAAAGGGATATTATTGAAGATCTAAACAGATTATTATTATTTTCCTGAAAGGCTGGAAAGGAATATACCAATCTCTTTTAGTCTTTTACTGGTGGAGACGCCAGTACAATGGTTGCAGAGAACAGCTCGTGAGCTTGCTGGGGAAGTGCTGCCGATCCATAGTGAAAATCGGCTTCTGACCGGTTAGAGCTGTGCTCAAGAGATTCAGCTGCTCCTAAGTGTGAGGAGCATGTCACACCTAAGAGCTCTTCCCCCAAAAGGGAAAAAATGTGGGCAACCGCTCTATGTTTACAACAAGTCCACAAGCTCACTGGAGGTCATGGCCAAGTAGCTAAAGATGGATACTTCAGTCTTTTACTAGTGATGTTAGAATATTTTAATTTCAGATCATTTCTGCATTATAAAACAGTTTAATTCATGATTACTGTTCACAGTATTCTAGTGTTTCAGCCATCTTCTGGGTAGGTTGATTAGTATCATAGTGTGTGGTATATTATTGAATTTTTAAGCTTTTTACCTGTGTGTTTACATACCTGTAATATACCTGTCAAGTCATGCAAACAAGGATGATTGTGTTTGAATTTGTTTAAAATGATACTCTTGTCTTCTCTCCCTCCAGCTGTGAAAGAGAGACTGTGGCCTATATAGTATTCCATTTCACTAGTGTTGAAGAACAGTGGTGACTGAAAATGCCGCCTCCTACAAATATTGTGAAAGTAGCTATAGAGTGGCCTGGTGCCTTTCCAAAATTGATGGAAATTGATCAAGTAAGTGCTTATTTCTGTGTATTATTTGTAAAAATCTTTATACTCTTAGACTGACAATTGTTAACGCTTGTTATAGCTTACTTATTATAGTCTTATAATAAGACAACTGTGGAATCTTCTTTAAGCTTTTACCTAAACAGAAGGTTTGCTATAGATTTTGCATTCAGGTAGTCCTCGCTTAATGATTCTAATTGGGACTGGAATTTCCATCACTAAGCAATGCAGTCATTAGGTGAAACATCACATGATTGTACCACTTAGCGACAGCAGTTCTGATAGCAGTCATTAGGCCAGGACCTCACGCTCCTCCTGCCCTGCCACACTTGCCTCCGCTTCAACTCCCCCCACCCGTTTGTCTCTCCTCCATCTCTGCCCTTTTGGTCGCCCTGCGCTTTGCCGCCCCTGCTGCCCTGCACTCTGCTGCCCCAGCTGCCCCTAGCTGACCTTTGCCGTCTTCCTCCCACTGCTGATGAGACACACCTGGCCTGGCCCTTCACCTCATTAGGAGTGGAAGGATGAAGACAGCAAAGGTCAGCTGGGGGCAGCAGGAGTGGTGGAGTGCAGGGCGGTGGGGTTGCATGGCGGAGTGCAGGCTGGCAATGGTGGTGCATGGTGGCGAGGGTGCAGGGAGGAGTGCAGGGCAGCAGGGGCGGTAGAGTGCAGGGCAGTGGGGGTGCAGGACATAAGGCAGGGTGGTAGGGCAGCAGAGTGCAGTGCAGCCAAAAGGGCAGAGATGGGAGGAGATAGACTGGTGGGGGGAGTTGAAATACACCTTGCAGTTGTAAATATGGGCGGGCTGCCAAGTGCCCAAATTTTGATCATGTGACTGTGGTGGCACTGCAGTGGCCATAACTTTGAGGACCAGGTGTAAGTACCATTCGTTCAGTGCTGTCATAAGTTTGAACAATCACTGAACGAATGGTCATTAAGCGAGGACTACCTGTACTACTTCCAGGCTGTGATTGAACCAAAGTGTAATTTTATGCTAATGATCTGTAAAATAATTTAGATATTTTTAAAAAGATTATTTGGCTTCTAACTCATATGAATGATATATAGAAATTAATCATTATAATTCATGAGTTGATGAGCAGTCATTGTAGCCCTCATTGAACTTTCACTATTGTATCAGATATGTAAGTTTTAAAAAAAAGATAAGTTGTGGCTTTAAGGGCAATTGGAAGTGAAAGCCTTCAGCACTATGTGTGGCATGCTTCCACTTGGAGAGTCTTCCTGGCAGCGAAGGCCCTCAAACTTTTAGACTAACCCTACTATTCAAAGGGGTCAATAGGCCCTTCTGGACTGGAAGTTAGGAAACTTCCTGAAAAACAAGATCTTCTAGTTCTGGTGCTGTTTTGGGAATTCCCAGACTCTGATTCTTGGCTCATATCTAGTTGTTGCATATGAATCCGTTTTGAAACTAGGTGAAGAAATGGAAACTGCCGTTTATAGATAATAAATCTAATATCAGAAAATATTCAGCTCTAACTCTGATGTGCTGTGTTGCAATCACTGTAATTGTTGGAGTTAGCTTTGTAATACTGCTTTATTTAGAGAAGTTCCTGGTTACTTACAGAATACCCTTGTGTATTGTTTTAATTCTGAGCAAGAGAACCCAGTCACTCTAGTTCAGTGTTTCTCAACCTTAGCTGCTTTAAGCTATGCGGACTTCAACTCCCAGAATTCCATGCTGGCTGGGGAATTCTGGGAGTTGAAGTCCACACAGCTTAAAGTGGCCAAGGTTGAGAAACACTGCTGTAGTTGCTTCAGTCCCAAGTCTGTTCCTGGCACTAGAATCTCTTGCTACCACTAGAATGCATGGAACTGGGCTCCTGTCTTCTAGGTAATACCAGCCAAAATGACTCAGGCCTTGTATTACCAGGACCAAATCCAACATCTTTCTTTTCTTATGAAATAAGAAAGATCACTCAAATTCAAAAAATGAAATTTCATACCAAAGAAAATATAGAATATTTATGTAATGGATTATTTTCCTAATTTCCCCACTTCTCCAAGTTCCTGTCAGAGAAACAGAAAATCAAGCAATACAAAAGTTCTGCACAATATTAGGTCTGTCTTCTCTCCTCTCTTAGATTTACTTTGAACCTAAGGCAAGCAGTTCATCTGAGCTTCTTGTCACAAGCAGTTTTTATTTGCCATAATTTAGGAAGGTTTGGTGATTTTTATGGCTGCTCAGCTTGCAAATTGTGACTCTGGGCAGCTAACATAGGAGTTAAAAAAAAAAAAAAGAACAAAACCCAGCAAAAATAAAAACAACACCAAAAAAACAAAACAAAACTTCACAACTGAAGCTAAACCACAGTCATATTCATTTTTGAACCATATAGATGGGCTCATCCAATATCCTAGCCAAATGCTTGGGGGAATGAAAATATCCTTTCCGATATTCATTATGAAGTGTTCTTTCAACTGTAATCCAATTTCCATATCAACTGCTATCCCATTTGTTGCTGAAAAGTATAACAAATAGTTCCTTAGCAGAACTGGTAAAATAATATTTTTTAATGGTACAGTATTTTCCAAACCAGAGCTTTCCAGATGTGTTGCAATACAATAAGCATCTGTCCTGAGCCGGCACTAAAACAGTAATTAATTAATTAAACTCAGAATGCTGTATGAAGGAGGTGCCTAGAAAGTCCTGTTTAGTTGCACACAGAGAAGTTCTTTGAATTACTGTTGCTATATCAGGTCATTATTGGAAATGAAAATAAATGTAAGGATATATTTTAGTAAAGATGTATGGCATCCTTCCTATTTTCAGCACCATGTTACAGCATTAGGCTCTTTGCTTATATAGTTAAACTCATGCAAGCGTACCTAAGCAGTAATTTTGATTTATAATACTATGTTTTAAAAAATTATAGGTACAGTTATTAATCTCACATTCAAATACTGGTGGTGTCAAAAAGTTTCAGGACACTTAAAAGCTATTAAATCTAGATTATATAAAACATACTGTGCCATCTTCTCATTTCTACAATGTAAGGACATTTCAACAGTTGACAAAGACTACATTTGCTGAATCCACTTGTGACAACTGGGACCATTTTAGAGTACAGTGGCATTGAAATACTGGCAACAAAAAAATAAAACTGGAGTATTGTTTTCGTTCTACCTGTATAGAGTAATTTCCTCATCTACTTCTGTGTGTGTGTGTGTGTGTGTATCCATATATCATATGGATCTTTTTTCTTAAAATAAGTTTTAGTTCATTTTGATCACGCCTATATACAGTATTTTTTTCTTTCCTTTTGATTGTATCATCGGTGTTTTTAGTTTTGCTCATTACATTCATTAATAAATGTTTCATTTTAAAAAAAGCAGGAAAACCTAGGTAAAGCATTTGAATTAGATTTCTCTGTTTATATAAAGCAGACTGTTCCTGTTATTCTTTTTTTGATGAGAATATGAAATGCAGTTTTATAACAGTTCCCATTTAATCACCAGCTACTCTGTGACATCACAAAAAAATCCTGTGATCTTGAGTCCTGACTTAATAAACCATAAAATGAATATACAATGTGATTTACATTCACCTATTTTTGTATGAGTGGATAATAGACAGCTATAGGTGGGCAACCATTTTGTTAAAAGACCCACGTTGGTAATTGCCAAATTCTTTGGCAGTCACATAGGTGAGTAGAGTTGATGGAAAATAGGGCGGACCCCCCACACCTACCCTGGTATTCTCCTGTACCTTTCTTCACATTTCCACACAGCCTTTCTTGCAGGGATCCATCAACCCTAAAGCAGCTGCATCTTCTTCTGGATCTCTGCACATTTGTAGTCTATAGGTTCACATTGTAGTCTATTAAGCCAGCATTCTTGGTTTAATGTTATGTTGAAACCCACTTAAGAATGAAAAAAATAGCCAACCAATGAACCTTCACTTCCTTGATTATTTAATAAAAGTTGCTAATACTGGCAATTTGCCTATCCATCAATTTGAACATGCAGCAATGTTTCAATACTTTCAGCATACTTTCCAAGATATTCATCCAAAGAAGATGCTGCTTTAATGTCTGGAGCAGTGTTTCTTAACCTTGGCAACTTTAAGACATGTGGACTTCTGGGAGTTGAAGTCCACCCGTCTTAAAGTTGCCAAGGTTGAGAAACACTGGTCTGGAGCTTTAGATCAAACAGTGCTTTTCATCACTGTTGTTAAAACATACATATGTATGTATATGAGCATCCCTATGCACTACCAGAATGTTTTCCATTATGTTTAGGAATACCACTTTACTTAAAAATGACATAATGACTTGAGCTTAGTATGACTTGAATTAATTACAAGATGACTCATTTACATTTTGACAGGTTGTGCATCTTTGTTGCCTAAGACTTGAATTATTGCCATCAGGGGTTTATTCATCATGCAGTAGGAAAAAGTGAATGAACTTTCATCCCCATATGTTTATATTTTTGCAGCTTCTCCTGTACTCTCTTGCACCACAGCTCAGAAAATTTATCTTGACTTTCATGAGCTTCTTGACTAAGGGATTCAGAAATGTTTTAAAACTCTTCTGTATACAGGGCTAATAACAAACATAAGTTATATTTTGTTTGATTATAAACCTGCTTCTACATTAATTTTTGTGAAGGCCAAAGTCATTGTGGGGATTTATGATCAGTCCTCAAAGTTATGGCTTCGCTGTGTCCCAGCAGTCATGTGATTGTGATTTGGGCACTTGACAACCGACTCACGCTTATAACAGTTTCAGTGTCCTCCGGTCACGCAATTGCCATTTGTGACCTTCCATGCCGGCTTCCCGTAAGCAAAGTCAATAGGGAAACAGGCAGGAGGTCACAAGTTGCTCCAGTAAATCACTTCCCCTGCACTGCTTTTCCTCCCAAGGGGCCCCCTTGTGGCAGGGGGAGTGTGGGCCCTGGGCAGGCAGCGGCCCACGCTCATGCCACGTCACAGCATCCACCCTCCCATCCACACTCATGCTGTGTTGCAGCACCCCCCACTCACCTGC